TCTGCAATAAAGAACTCTCCTCGACCAGCACCGCCTTTTCGGAATATAACTACTGACGTCAGTTATGGGTGAAAGCATGAGTTCTTGTTCCGCAAAATAGCCACCGCAAAAGGAGGAAGCGAGCGTGCAAAACGAGAAGACATTACGATGCTCACTTTGCGAAACATCTCTTCCCGTTCCTCAGCCGCTCGGAATCTTCTTACCAGAGTGGCTTCGTTCACACGAAGTACCGTTAGTTCACGAACCAGTTCGCCCATTTTACGTTTGATTTCATCCTTTGCGTCAGTTGTCTCGCCACTTTCCATCTGATTAAAGGTTTCGGTCAAACGAGCCAACTCGGTCTTGTAAATCTCTATTTCTCCTGATAGAGCCTCAGCCTGAGTGACTTTGTCTTCCAAATTCTTTCGCTCGTGTTTCCATGCCTGAGGAGTAAAAGAGATCAGGATAAAACGAAAGGAGGAAATGAATTTTCCATGAGTGGCAAATCCATGGGTCTTCGGCTCGTTTTGTTTCATGCAGCTTTTCAAATTTTGGACATGTGGCTACAGCCTTTCAGTCATTCAAAACAACTTTTCACGGTTTGATGCATACAAAAAGTGGTTACATTACTGAAAGATGGGGAAACAAAATGTTTATATCATCGATCACACATTTATGTGATTGCTCACCTTACGCTCCGTGTGGAAATCTTGATAGAGTAAACCCTGTCGATGACGACATAAGGCAAATTTACGTCGGTATTCATCCAACTCTCGATCCAACTGGAAGAGTTGCTGAGATTTATCGTCCAACTCCGTCAAAACGAACTGTAAATGTTCTTCCAAATACTGAATAATTTTCGATGTGTCCTCGTTCAAATGTTCAGGTAGTGTTTGTGTTGCTTGATTTCCACCCAAAACCAGAGGATCACCGATAGACTGAAGTGATCGAATTTGGGAATTCAGCGTTTGAATACGTTCCTCTGAACGCTTCAGTAGGACGTCTTTTTCTGCGGCACACAAGCGGACTTCACGCAACTCTCGGCGAAGCTCGCTATTCGCACCCTGATGTTCAAAAGGAGAAAAATATAATTTAGTGGTTGTCAAAATGGTTTCTAATCATAAACATTGTGCCCACATTGATACATAACAGCTTTATGTGAAAATCTCAGTCATAAATTTCATAACAACCCAGTTAGAGTAGACAGCGATTTGATGATAAAAAATCACTTTCTGATTCAACGCTATAGTGAGACTAAGCACAACAATTCCATCAATGTAGTAAAGAGAAAAACATAAATCGTCTCAACAATTCAAGTCTAATAACAACTGTGCCTCCAAGTATATTTGTCTGTTTCAACCAATGATATAAATGGAATGGTCTACTTGCAGTACTTACAGTCAATCGCGGATTTCATCCATATATAACGATTAGCTTCCTTTTCGATACTCGGTTTGCAGAAAGATCAAGTGAATTTACATCCAAAATACTGCACGACCATATTCCATATACCGGTTTTGCTATCCACTGAATGAGAAAATGATCATTTGTTTCCTTCCTTGCCTAATTATCTCCGTAAGTTAATGGGTACAGCAGTGCAGTTTTGTAGACCGTTACTTTAATTCATCAGTAATAAAACTTGAGAACTTGCATGGGTAAATGTTTTTTTGAATTATACCGTCAGTTCGGCCACTTGATTGTAAAAATCAGACACCTGTTATGCAATTACAAAAACTTGTCTAACTTTGAAGGGCCCGAAA